AACAAATTAATTACTGGCCCGACATACCTCGGTGTAAACGCAATGTAATTTTCAAGACGCGCGTAACGCACTCGCGAACGACAGAGCGATACGATATCGCCTGCGACGTTTCAGATTCATGAAACTCGCTGACACTTCATTGTGCTGCTCAGCAACGTTCGCTCGTAAATAGCTATTATCGCGTAATAAATATTACGCGACGAAAACACAGCATAACACGCCTATCAAATCGCGATTCATTAACGCCATTGTTCGCGAACAATAAATTTTCGCTCCTCGTCGGATTGATTCGCGTAAACGATCCCCAACGTCGCAACGTATGCTGCACGGGGACCGTTTCCGCGCTGTCCCTTTTCGTCCTCGCGCGTTCGTATGTTTGCGACCAAGAACGTGCTGCTACGGTGGTCATTGTTTTATTAAATTCATGAATGATGCGTTTCCTGAGATGAAAACGAGAGGCAACGACTGCGGGAGTGCTTTCTAATTGTTCAATAGTTACGCGACGGAAAAACTCGTGCGGAACTAAACGACGGTGCTGTGGTGACCATGGTCGACCGTGGGATTTTACAATGGCGTCCCCGGTTTATGATCCGACGAAAACCAGCGCCACGGAATTCATGGGGTAATTTACAACCGGCTGAAATGTTCGTCTTGTCCCGGGTTGCCCCGAGAAAATCGAAAAAATAACATCGTAGGCCTGCTAAACCGAATGCAACAGTCGCATCAGACTCACGAAAATGATTTCCTGACGGAACATTTTCAAAAGAATTTTCCGATCTTATAAGAAATATACGAACAAGTGAACTAATGTATAACTCATTTTTAATAATATTTTTATTTGCTGTCTGTAATGTTGTCGATCTAAAAATGCTGCATCGTCGATTTTCGAAAATAAGAGAATAAAATATTGTTCTCCTATCGTCATTAAGATGATGTACAATAATAGTTTCTTGCGCAGAGATCACGAAGTATTTCTTATCTAATTTTTAATAGTAATTCTGTATATTTGCAATCTACAATGTAGGATCGACATGTTCATTTAATCTTCCAGCTGCAGGTGTCTGTGCATCCGTGAGTAAGATTTAAGCAAAAATTACCTCCACTTCATCTCGCCACATTAAGCACAATAAAATATTATTTTTCTATCGCCCACAAACAATTTCCCATTTAATTTATTTACTTTCATTTACACTTGAAACCTTTCAATTTTTCGCTGACACCACAAAATATCCTCCAATTGTCGCTGACAATTTAATCTAACCCTAAGAACAACGTTCTTAGCGACAGAGAAGCGAGCCCCAGCAAAAGAAGCATAGACTTTCACGGTTGGCTGTTTTTCCCAATTGCAATATAGTCTGCAGAATGTGATGGATAGCTGTCGGCCCGACGGATTGAATATCCATCGTGTTGTCAGCGTTGCAGTGGGAGTCGAATTTTCATTTCGTCGACCGAAGAATTTTTCAATTCGTCCCGAGGCCGTCGTAGGTGGACGCGATCGCCGTAGAATGCAATCAGCGAGTAGTTAAGAAGAATAATAGGAGTCATTTTTTATTCGTCAACACTTCGGGGGGACGGAGATGAGCTGACAAAGTGAGAAATGCAACGGGTGAAGAGGTCAAACGGGCTTCACTACCGACTACCGGACACCGATGCTGTGCTCGGATACATTCGATTCGTCAGTTGGCCAAGCGGACGCGCGTTTAATGGCACGAGCGAGTACCATTCCGCGTGATTTATCGCCCTTATACGTTTCACCGGGTATCGTAAACAATTTTTCGTTCGACCGGCATCGATTCAACCCTTTGCTCGATCACCGGGATTAGAAGAAATTCGTCGAGGAGCGGGAATCCGTTTTTACCGCGATTTTATAGTTAGCACCAATGCTTTCGCGTCTTCATCTAATTCTTTTAAGACATTAGCTGCATTCCAGAATATTTGTATATGCATTAAAGGTGCCTTTCGAAGTTCTTGTAAAATTTCTGCACTGAAGTTCCTATTCATTTAAAAATGCCTGCATCATTCTGTACTGACAGTACATATGTACTCGTTTAAAAATGTTTGCATTAGGAAACTCCCTGTGCCGATGATACAGCGTCATTTGCAATTTATTTCAATATTAAATTTTCGAAATTTTTGAAGTACTAAACATTCAGTACGAATTTTTTATACTGATTTTAGAATTTTGTGTTGTCCGCATCGGACGCGTTAAACCACAGCTTTATAAACTGATGCGTAGTTTGATTCAGATTAGATGCACCTAGAAAATGTGTTTCGAATAATCTACTGTTAACTCAATTGTTAGAGTAATTGGTACATCGTAAAGAGTGGAGCGTATGCTTCCACTTGAAGCAAAGATGGCGCACATCGTTAACTTTTATTCAACTCATTCGCAAGATCTTTTAAATTGTAGAGTTTGCTATAAGACTTGCCAATGAAGCCCTCTTACAATAGCATAATTAAAATGGCACGTGACAAGTTGAAACCAAAGGTAGTACTTAACAGTCGTCTTTCTCTATTTTATCATCAAAACGAACATCTCGAAGCTCCAAAATCGTTAACCAACCCTTAACACACTTAATGCAGACAACTGTACAAACAACGATGACTCAGTCTCACGTTCAACACTTGAGAAAATGGAATGACTCTTGTGCCCAATTGTAAGCTATAGATCTTTATGCATTTATGCGATTCAAACATATTTAATCTATTTTTACTATAAGAAATTTTCTAGAAGATAAATTATATTTGTTCTTAATCCTGGATTTGTTTTCATAGAAATTGGGTTCCACATAAATATCTGTAGTCTATTATGTCAACACTGAAAACTTTCTATAACGTTACGTATCATCACAGTTATTAAACTCCACGCTATTAGCGCACAGTTTTGCATCTCGAACGTAAATCAATCTGTAATTATCTAAGAAAGTAGAATTGTACGATAATTTTGCCATTTGCCACCGAAAGCGAACACAAAATTTTTTAAACAAATTGGAAACTGGTATCGAGGCACTCGAACATCCACAGAACTGATGAATGTTGATCAATCAATTTCCCAAAAGGTTCATTTTGCATCACAATTGAGTTGGAAATTGTCAAAAATGAAACGAATGAACTTTGCAAAATTACCTTCACACTATACAATGCAGTACCTATTGTTCATAGCATAATAAGGAATTTTAATCTGATCCTTGCTTGTAAGTCAAGCTCAACGAGTAATATAATATATTGGTTTTGTTGTGTGGTATCGAGAAAAATTTTTAGCTCGAAAACTCTTTGTGGGAGCCCATTGGCGTTCCAACGTTCCAGTTGCTTCAGAGTGGGTCTTGCTATTTATGTTAGTTTATTGGTTTGAAATGTTGTTATTATTGTACACACACACACACACACACACACACACACACAGAGAGAGAGAGAGAGAGAGAGAGAGAGAGAGAGAGAGAGAGACAGACAGACAGACAGACAGACAGACAGACAGACAGACAGAGAGAGAGAGAGAGATTGTATGTTTGTGTAGTAGATGTAAAATTATTTGTTACTATTTTGGAATTGAGTGTGGGATACAACTTTTGCTGCAATTGTTTTCCTACTATGCAGCCTTTATAACTAGCTGGGTAATATTATATAACCTATATAACCTAAAATATAACCTAGCCTGGTAATTAAAACATTTTACCTCGTCTGTCTTCTTTGTTAATGGGCAGTTGGGGTTGAAATGTTTTCCGGCACATTTGACACATGCAGGCGTTTTAAAGCGATAATTTTTTGTGTGTCCATGAACTTGACAGCGTGTGCAATGCGGTATGTCTGTTTTAGCCCGAGGGGGTTTGAAAGTTATAATAGCGTTTAGGAGTTTCTTTACTTTGTAAATTTCTTTGTTATCTTCGCGTTGGGTTCTAATTCGTTAAAACAACAGTGATAGTGGCTATTTTGCATCGTATTTTACTGTGTTGTTTATTTGCCTTGATGGTTAAGATTTTTTAGTTCATCGATGATTCTGTTGATATCTTTTGAATTGATATATATATATATATACTGAAATCACTGAAATCTACAGTAAAATAGTACTTGCCTTGAAAACAAGGAATGCCAACTTATATATAAGGCAAGTACTATTTTACTGTAGATTTCAGTGATCTTAGTTTGAACCTTAACGTGATTATTGTTTAGCTGTTTCAGTGTGTAACTGTTGTATGCTGTTTCTTCCAGTACATTTATTAAGAGTTCTATAATTTGAACTTCAATGTGAATTAGAAGAGACTTCGGCTCGGTAGATTTTGATGTAATCTCTTCTGTGAGGTGTCTTTTGCTAAAATGTTGAAATGGGTATATCCGTTAACCATTTGACCTGTTGTGTGCAGTAGCTATCTATCCGTGTTGGTGAACGTCTCGTGTTGGTAAGTTTTTTGTGTTTCGTTGCTGGTTTCCGCCTGTTTGCTACCCGTTGGTATGTCGATATCCATTCCGTTGTCGTTCGTTATTTTGTTGGTTATGGAAAAGCCGTAGGCCGTTGATCTCATCCATTTGAATTGCTTGCCAAACTGCAGGTTTAACGATACACGCACAATCTCACACACCTGAGTAGGTTGAATAACAGCGTTCGTACACAGTGATAAATATTCGTTTCGCGTAAACACGTCTTGTCAGCGCGTCCTCCCCGTAAGCGAGGCTACAAATCTAAACTAGAACAAACTTTCCCGTATACTAAAAGATGCATTATAGTAAAGATGGAAATCGCATAAATCTTCTATTCAAAGAGAGAAGCAACCAATCGAATCGTGAATCAAAGGAAATCTTTCCAAACTACTCTTCCATGTACCAAACGCTGCACTAATCAAAGTTAACTGCACTGATCAAACTCAACAACATCGTACGGGAAAAATAAATTTTATCGACTATCGACGTAGCTTACAATAATATATTTACTTGCAACAAACGTTTGTGCAAGAACCATCAAACCTCCATTCTAAGAGCAGACCGAACCAAGCAAAAATCGCACTCACCTTCATGTCGTTGACGCGTGGATCACGTAGGTCACGACCTCGTCATCCGGTGATCCATGATTCGATCAACAAAAGTCCAAGAGAGTCCGAGATGGTTCAAGAGTCCAGGTCGTCGAACAATCGATATACAGTCTCTCAACAAAAAAGCAGATCACAGCACGGTAAAACCTNAGACAGACAGACAGACAGACAGAGAGAGAGAGAGAGATTGTATGTTTGTGTAGTAGATGTAAAATTATTTGTTACTATTTTGGAATTGAGTGTGGGATACAACTTTTGCTGCAATTGTTTTCCTACTATGCAGCCTTTATAACTAGCTGGGTAATATTATATAACCTATATAACCTAAAATATAACCTAGCCTGGTAATTAAAACATTTTACCTCGTCTGTCTTCTTTGTTAATGGGCAGTTGGGGTTGAAATGTTTTCCGGCACATTTGACACATGCAGGCGTTTTAAAGCGATAATTTTTTGTGTGTCCATGAACTTGACAGCGTGTGCAATGCGGTATGTCTGTTTTAGCCCGAGGGGGTTTGAAAGTTATAATAGCGTTTAGGAGTTTCTTTACTTTGTAAATTTCTTTGTTATCTTCGCGTTGGGTTCTAATTCGTTAAAACAACAGTGATAGTGGCTATTTTGCATCGTATTTTACTGTGTTGTTTATTTGCCTTGATGGTTAAGATTTTTTAGTTCATCGATGATTCTGTTGATATCTTTTGAATTGATATATATATATATATACTGAAATCACTGAAATCTACAGTAAAATAGTACTTGCCTTGAAAACAAGGAATGCCAACTTATATATAAGGCAAGTACTATTTTACTGTAGATTTCAGTGATCTTAGTTTGAACCTTAACGTGATTATTGTTTAGCTGTTTCAGTGTGTAACTGTTGTATGCTGTTTCTTCCAGTACATTTATTAAGAGTTCTATAATTTGAACTTCAATGTGAATTAGAAGAGACTTCGGCTCGGTAGATTTTGATGTAATCTCTTCTGTGAGGTGTCTTTTGCTAAAATGTTGAAATGGGTATATCCGTTAACCATTTGACCTGTTGTGTGCAGTAGCTATCTATCCGTGTTGGTGAACGTCTCGTGTTGGTAAGTTTTTTGTGTTTCGTTGCTGGTTTCCGCCTGTTTGCTACCCGTTGGTATGTCGATATCCATTCCGTTGTCGTTCGTTATTTTGTTGGTTATGGAAAAGCCGTAGGCCGTTGATCTCATCCATTTGAATTGCTTGCCAAACTGCAGGTTTAACGATACACGCACAATCTCACACACCTGAGTAGGTTGAATAACAGCGTTCGTACACAGTGATAAATATTCGTTTCGCGTAAACACGTCTTGTCAGCGCGTCCTCCCCGTAAGCGAGGCTACAAATCTAAACTAGAACAAACTTTCCCGTATACTAAAAGATGCATTATAGTAAAGATGGAAATCGCATAAATCTTCTATTCAAAGAGAGAAGCAACCAATCGAATCGTGAATCAAAGGAAATCTTTCCAAACTACTCTTCCATGTACCAAACGCTGCACTAATCAAAGTTAACTGCACTGATCAAACTCAACAACATCGTACGGGAAAAATAAATTTTATCGACTATCGACGTAGCTTACAATAATATATTTACTTGCAACAAACGTTTGTGCAAGAACCATCAAACCTCCATTCTAAGAGCAGACCGAACCAAGCAAAAATCGCACTCACCTTCATGTCGTTGACGCGTGGATCACGTAGGTCACGACCTCGTCATCCGGTGATCCATGATTCGATCAACAAAAGTCCAAGAGAGTCCGAGATGGTTCAAGAGTCCAGGTCGTCGAACAATCGATATACAGTCTCTCAACAAAAAAGCAGATCACAGCACGGTAAAACCTCGTCGAAACTGATCACGCGTTTCACCGGTCGAGTGGGTTGAAAATTGTTGGCTCGAGAAACGAAAAGGATCGAAGAACAAGGTACCCTGTCCAGATCCGTGGCCCGGGGAAGACTGGCATCCTCGGTCCTGCCCCTTCCACCTTGGACCACGCGCGAACCCAGACCAGCTTGTTCTTTGCAGCCTCGCCGCAGTGTGCACACCCACCGACAGTTTCAACTTCATTTGTACATGCCTCGTGCATCCGTCTGTGTGCTCTCGACGGTGTGTTCGTGTGTGGGACATTGGAGGGGAGTCCTGTTCCCTGACATGACTCGATTCGACCCTCTCTGTGCCAAAGAGACGATGGTTCGAGGGACGGAGAGCCCTGGAATGAACAACAGGCTCCGCCCATTCTGCCACGCCCACTCTCGACTCAGTGGTGGGGGAAACTACGCTGAGCGGATGAAACTCGAATGGAATTTCCGCGGGGATCCGAACGCGACCTTCTTCTTCTTCGTCGTCGTCTTCTTCTTCTTCTTCTTCTTCTTCTTCTTCTTCTTCTTCTTCTTCTTCGTCGTCGTCGTCGTCTTCTTCTTCTTACACTTGCTCTTCCTATTTCTACCCCACCCTTCGGCGTGTTCTTGCTCGATTCTTACGTTTTCTTGGGCTTCAACAAATGATACGATGATCTTTTTGCTGGGGTTGGGTCGAGAGTCAAGGCTGTTAAGGTGTTTTCTAGACTTCATGATTTCTTTATTTTTCTTTCTTTCTTTTCTTTTCTTTTCCATTTTGTGATAGATTCTTCGTTTCTTTATTCTTGAGGATTGTTTTTATATCATTACACATAACGGACTTCGTTTTATTTCATTGAAGATTTTTCGTTTATTCATGATTGTGAATTGTTTTTATAATATTATTACATCATCAACTTTTGTTTTGTTTTGTGGAAAGGTTACAATAACGTCATCGATGGTCAAGACAACAAAACAACGAGTCTCCCTGTCATTGTAGTCTTTGCCGAGCTCGCATAAGGATGCTTCGTACACAACTCACAATAAAGTCACATTTCGAAACAGTTTGCTATATATGTATATATATATATATATTCTATAATAGTTAATCTAGCTTTCTTCCACTTGTTCCCTTCCAACATATTTTATATGCTGGAAGGAATATATATATATATATATATTCCACATATTATTTAGCAGAAGAAGCTATCTCTCTCTCTCTCTCTCTCTCTCTCTCTCTCTCTCTCTCTCTCTCTCTTTTGTACTCTTTGTACTCTCAATCTACCTTTAACTGTCTCTCCCTCTCTTTCTCCAGCTATCTTTCGTTCTCTCCCTCTCTCTCTCTCGCTCTCTCTGCCTCTCTTTCTCTCTCTAGCTATCTATGACTGTCTCTCTCTCTCTCTCTCTCT